TCCCTAGAGATCACTTCTGCATAGCTTGGGACTTGACATTCTGAGATTCAGTTCTAGTTTGTCTGAAGGTAGCACATGCTCTTTTTTACTGCATTCCATATTTTCAGGCTATCTAAACTGGGGAAATGTCTGCTGCAGTTATGTTAGCCTGCTGAGAAGATTTGTGAGTCCTAACACTTGGGCAATCTGGCAATGCTGTGTGAAAGGGTAATCGTGCCCTGGAGCACTTGAATCAGTTTCTACTCTAACAATTCAGGTGGTAGAAATAACTGATGGCCCACTTCAAGCATTTTGAATCATAGAATCATAGAATCAACCAAGTTGGAAAAGACCTCCAAAATTACCAAGTTCAACCCTCCTTCTGTGGTTACTAGCCCATGGCACTAAGTGCCACATCCAGTCTCATCTTGAAAACCTCCAGGGACAGTGAATCCACCACCTCCCTGGGCAGCCCATTCCAATGCCTGACTACTCTCTCTGTAAAATATCTCTTCCTAATAGCCAACCTAAACCTCCCCTGGCAGAACTTGAGTCTGTGCCCTCTTGTCCTCCTGCTGGTTGCCTGGGAGAAGAGAACAACCTCCACCTGACTACAACCTCCTGTCAGGGAGTTGTAGAGGGCAATAAGGTCTCCCCTGAGCCTCCTCTTCTCCAGGCTGAACCACCTCAGCTCCCTCAGCCTCTCCCCATAGCACTTGTGCTCAAGTCCCCTCAACAGCCTCATTGCTCTTCTCTGGACCTGCTCCAGCACCTCAATGTTTCTCCTGACCTGATGGGCCCAGAACTGTGCACAGGACTCAAGGTGTGACCTCACCAGTGCCGAGTCCACGGGCAGAATCACCTCTCTGGTCCTGCTGACCACACTGTTCCTGATCCAGGCCAGGATGCCATTGGCCTTCTTGGCCACCTGAGCACACTGCTGGCTCATGTTCAGCTTTTTGTCTATCACTGGTGACATGGAAAAGCATTTTGGTTGCTGACAGAATCCTTGAATAGGGATATAGGTTGTATTTTGGATAATAAAGGGAAGATAAATTGCCAAGTGCTTGAAAATCAGTCTTAATTTCTATGTTGATAAGGCTGTTTAAATGTTCAGTCACTAAGTCTAGCTTATTTTACAAAGGACAAAAAGTCTGTACCTCAGTAACAGCAGCTTCTTGGGTTTTTTTTCATTTCAGGGACCAACAGAACCAAAGGAAGAAGCTTCGCTGGCCACAAAGTTGCAGAGACAGAGAATGACGCTGAAGATGTATACAAAGTGGATGAATTTGCAGCAAAAGTCCTCACAGGAAAGCTGACTACAGTTTTTCTTCCCATTGTCTATATCTTTTCCTTCGTAATTGGTTGGCCAAGTAATGCCATAGCCCTCTATGTCTTTTTTTCCCAAGCAAAGAAGAAGCATCCAGCTGTGATTTACATGGTTAACTTGGCACTATCAGACCTTCTTTTTGTTGTCTGGTTCCCACTGAAGATTGCATACCACCTAAATGGCAATAACTGGGTGTTTGGTGAAGAATTCTGCAAAGTCTTTGTTGTAGCTTTCTATGGAAATATGTACTGCTCCATCCTCTTTATGACATGCCTCAGTGTACAACGGTGTTGGGTTGTAGTGGACCCCATAGCACACTCAAGAAAGAAATCAGAAATTGCCTTGATCATCTCCATTGCTATCTGGATGCTGGTTTTTTCAAGCACCTGTCCATTGTTCCTTGTTGATCAGACTGCATATATTTCAAATCTCAACATCACTACCTGCCACGATGTGTTGTCTGAAAATGTTTTGGCCAATTATATGTTCTATTACTTCCTCTCAGTTGCAATTGCACTCTTCCTCATCCCAGCTGTCATCACTGCTGGCTCATACATAGTCATGATAAAGACTCTGAGCACCTCCATGGTAGATGTAAGCACTGGGAAGAAACGAAGAAGGGCAATCAAACTCATTATTGTTGTTCTTTTCATGTATCTCATCTGTTTCACACCTAGCAACGTGCTGATCGTTGCACACTATTTGCTTCTCAAAGTCTACTGCCAGAGCTATCTGTATGCCTTCTACATAACTGCGCTGTGCCTTTCTGCCCTGAACAGTTGCATTGATCCATTCATCTATTACTACATTTCAAAAGACTTCAGAAACAACCTCAAAAATGCTCTTCTCTGCCGAAGTGTGAGAACCACACGGAGGATGCAAGTATCTCTCTCATCAAGCAGATCCACCAAGAAAACAAGTTCTTATAATTCAAGTTCAATGAGGACCAATAAGTCAACCTACTGAGTCAAATCCTAGAAAAGTGAACTTTTATTATTACTGGTGAAAGGATGTGAGTGACCAGAGAGTTGTTTTGTACAAGAGAGCCTGAAGAAGCCTCTCTGCATTTTAATTACATTGAAGCCTGAAATTTGGAACTGGCAGCTGCTTATTCCATGCAGAAGTCATAAGCAGATAAACCTTCCTGCTAGACTGGAGGAAAGAAAAGACATTTCAGATGCTCTTCAAAAATGCTGCTGGTCCAGAAGTGAGTTCCAGTTGAAGACATTCTTGTTCAATACAAAGGTTTCTAAAAGGAAAATATCTCTAGAATGTTATGTAGTGTTGTTAGCATATTTAATTAACAGATAAATCTGTTTTGTTTAAATCTGTTCTTTTTTTTGTATTAAGCAGCTGAACAGATTGTGTGTGTGTAGGACGTTGCTCTGTATACCTGCTTACACTGAACATTATTTGGAGCTGTAGAGAGAAGAAGAGGAGAAACCATTTCACCATCTTGGTGTAGAATACTCATTATCTTTAGTATAATGTAATTTTTATACTGTTTTCCAAGTTACTGTGCTGTAAATACTAACATGGCAGAAGCTTGTAATATTATCCTATTAACAAGCTGAACTTGTTACCAGCTATTGCTGAGATTAAATGTTAGTTGAGTTTATCCACTGTTACCACTTGCCAGTACCTGATCTCAGATGGGGATATATAACAAAGTTTTGATGACTTGCTCTCTGATTTTATATAATGTACCTTGTATTTTTTAAGCTATCTAAATATGATTTTTTTTATGACACATTTGAGTTGGTTCCTTTATTTTACTCTTTTACATGTGCTTCAAAATGTTGAGTAGTTCACCTTGCCTGGCTTCATGTGACAGAGATACTATTCCTAACAGTGGATGAGAAACATGACAACTGTAGCTGTACTGTCTAAATAGGTAAAGGAGGATTTACCTAATGATGCATTGCTTTAGAGAACAATGAAAGTAGGATGATTTGTGATGGTATTTCAGAGGAACAACCTAAAATAGCGACATGTATTAACTTCTGTCTCATTGAGGACCAGAGGGTTTACAGCCCTGTAGGTGATGTGGAACGATAAAAGTTTCACAGGCACAAACAGTTTTCCTGTTTCCTGACAAATTCAGGGAAATACTTGCACATTTATTACATATTATGTAGTCATGCAGCATTCTTAGTGGAAAATAACTGCACATCAGAGGCCAGAGTTCACTGGAAGGATTTAGGAGGAGAGGGTTGCACCATCTTAGCAAACCCTGTCTGAACTGTTCCCTTAGTCTGTGCGTGATAAAGTATGAGTATGTCCTTTACCTTGCTAAACAGCCTAGTGTGCTTCCTGCTCTGTGTATGGTACTGAGCAGTATGGAGGAAGGGCAACTAGTTCAAGTGATTACAGCCCTGCTTGTGCTCTGTCAGGAGTCCAAGTGTTATAGGTTGGATATTGTAAAGAGGATAAAAGGTCTGTGTGTGTCTATGTAATACCATAAAGAGAGTGATTATGATTCATGGATGACTGGTAAGTGGTTAAAACCCAATCTACTTAATTTAGCCAGTCTTTTAGGAGAAGAGATTTATGTCTTGTCATTATTAAATTAGAAGTGTACCAAGTACCATTTGTATGTCTATGCTCTTACACTTCATTCTTCCTTTCCTGTCAAACAATCAGACCACTCCATTGCAGCTCATGGAGTGAAGTGTTGATCCTCTTGACCATTTCTCCCTTCCAGCCTTGTTCCTCTATGGATTGGCAAAGCAGGTTGCAAGGAAGGACCTTTCTTACCTGCAGCAACAGTGGAGGTCTGCCAGTGACACATGTAAGAGTTAGACAGTCCTGCAGTGCGTTAAAAGCAATTTGAGAAAAAAGGTTTTAATGAGCAGAGTGATTTATTTTAAAAGGAGGTTGTACTATCATAGAATCATAGTATTTGAGGTTTGGAATGGACCTTACAGATCATTTAGTCCCAACCCCCTGCCATGGGCATGGACACCTCCTCACTACATCAGGTTGCTCAAGGCTTCGTTCAGCCTGGCCTTGAACACTGCCAGGGTTGGAGCAGCCCCCACATCCCTGGGCAACTTGTGCCAGTGTCTCACCACCCTCACAGAAAAAAACTTGTTTCTAATATCTAACCTAAACTTCCCTTCCTTCAGTTTGAATACTATTCAAAGAGCTCACAGTCACTTCAGTGAAGGTTTCCCTTCTGTAGATGCATCGCAAGTCCTGGTCCTGAATTTAGCATTAATTACTTTGCTCCAATTAACAGGCAGACCAGGCTGATTGTTCAGTTGATTTGAATCAGATCCTTGAACTGATAACTGTATGCTTGTGCAGCCAGGTAGCAATGGGTTAAGAACATGTAGCCCCGGAGGGTGGAGCTGGTTGCTTAAACCTTTCTTTTTAGGACTGTACCCCTGGGCAGGTTTGGTTGTTATAAAGGTGATTGTCTTCAGCTAACAGTAAATATATCCCTGAATCAGTGCCAACTTTGCAATTCAGACACCAAGAGATACAAAAGAAAGTGTCTTTACCTATGGCTGACTAAAGGTTTGGATGCTAAAAAAAATCAGTGTGAATTCCATGAAAGACCAGGGAAAATCAGTGTAATTTATGTGCATGATGTTATGTTTTCACAAGCAGCTCGAGCACATGCCCCTGCAAAGAGTAGACTAGTCTTTCCCCTAACCTAATTGCTTGACCACAGTGTTCCCCCATACTGTCAAAAGCATGTGTGACCTTGGAGTGCATTGGATCAGTTTTGGGTTAAAGTTAAACCAGGAGGAGGGAGGAAAGTTTGCTTTTGACTTGGAACAGTGGTTTGCTGAATGAGCTCTTGGCTCAGCACAAGGGAGAGAGTCAGACTGTGTCTTTCCCCATGAACACAGGCTTGCACCATGCACCTGTGAGGCAAGTTGAAGCACAGTAGCTGCAAAGCCTTCATCCAGCCTCCTAAGCAGCAGGGAGCAAACCTCCACCCATGACTGTAGGAATAGCTCTACTCCCTTTGGCTGAGGGTCCACCTAGATCAGCCAGAGTCATCTCACTGTGCTTCTGGAGGTCAACAAGACAGTATGGTGTCATAGGACATGTCAAAAAATAGTAGGACTGTTGCACAAGGCTCCTGGCTGATACAACAGGTGGACAGAAGGTGTGGCCAGCACCACTTGAGTGTCGAGCTATGGGTCTGGGCTCTGAAGTTCAGGAATATAGAAGACAAATGAAGGCTGGGAGAGCTAAGCTCTGTCATCTGAGAGGAAAGCTGCTGCCCAGAGGGACTGATCTCTCACAAAGAACATGTGTAACAGCAACAGAAAAAATCATAGAATCATCAGAGTTGGATGAAATCTTTAAGATCAAGTCCAGCTGTTAACCTGTTACTGCTGTTACCCTTAAGCCCTAAACCATATCTTCCAGCACCAGATCCAGACACCTCTTAAACACTTCTAAGGACGGTGACTCCACCACCTCCCTGGGCAACCTACTCCAGTGCCTGAGCAAACTATTCCAATGCCTGAAGTAGTTAGAGGCAAGTACCTAGGGAGGAATAAAACCAGTTCAACTAAGTATCACGTCCCCCATGATACTCTCCCAACATCCAGCTATTTTCAGCATGATAATTTCCTTAAGTCTGATTTCGCTGGTCTAATTAGTAGTGCCTGTTGTGTGTCTTGTTGCCAACCTCACTTTATTTGCTTTGAATCAGGGTCCACAATCTTCATTTGGTGGCCCCTCATTCCTAAAGAAGAGAATGTGAATGAGTCCCTCCTAACTGTCTTGCCTATCCACTTGAAATTTGGGAGTCACTATCATATGCCCTCTCAGATACTTTCCACACTGAGGTGTCCTAGTCAACTCCTTCCAGTAGAGCCACCTCTCAGTGATAGTCCTGTTTCCTTTCTAAGAGACCCTCCCATTTCCATACACGGTCTCCAATTTACACACAGTACTCAGGCTGTGAATGATGTGATGTCTGCTGTTTTGCTCCATGTTGCTTCCTCAATATCCCTTAATATTCAGTGTTTGTTTTATTTTTTCTCCCCATTCTTTAGCATTGAGTTGATGTTTTCATGCAGCTGCTTGCAGCTACATCTCTCCCATGACTGGTTACAGATATTTTGCAAGCCATAGTTTTGTATGCCAAGGTAGGATGTTATCAGCAAACCTTTGTTCCTCAGTGCTCAGTCCTTTTCAGACCATTTATGAACAGGCAGGTCTATACAGGTCCAGTTGAGATCTGTCACCACATTTGAGTAATTGGCATTGTGAAGATTTGACTGTTATTCTGCTACCCTGTATTTCTTTCCTTGTAATCAGTTGTTCTTACACAAGAGGACCTTTCCTCTCATTCCATGGCTGCCCATTTCCTTTGAAAAACTCTAAGCAGAAATTTTGCCCCATTGCAAAATCAGGTAGGCTGGATATGCTGGATCACCCATATCTTCACTTATATTTGGCCTCTTCCAAGAACTCCACAAGCCTGTTAAGTTCAGATTTCTCTTTACAAAAGCAATGGTGGCTTTTCCCAGAAAGATCCAGATGTTCCTTAGTGATGTCCCTTCTCAGACTCTTCGCTAATTGCTCAGTACAGATATTGAGCTGATATTTCCCTGGACACCTCAGAACCTTTTAAGTATTAATTATAGCATTGGCTCCCAGCATCCAACACTTCTGATGCTAATTCAGCTATTTTGCCTCAGAGTTTTCTCAGAACTCCTCAATGAATACCACCTGAGCCCAACAAGTGTAGAATCATAGAATCAACCAGGTGGGAAAAGACCTCCAAGATCACCGAGTCCAACCCTACCATGGTTACTAGACCATGGCACTAAGTGCCACATCCAGTCTCAGCTTGGAAACCTCCAGGGATGGTGAATCCACCACCTCCCTGGGCAGCCCATTCCAATGCCTGACTACTCTCTCTGTAAAATATCTCTTCCTAATAGCTCTGGGGCAGCTTGAGGCTATGTCCTCTTGTCCTGTTGCTAGCTGCC